ATGAAAACTGATCCTCTCATAGAGCCAGGTGTACCTAAACATTTAGGAAGAGGAATTTTGGCCAGATCAGATCTGAAGGAGGACAGTGAGGTAAACTGATTTGATGTACTCTTTCAACGTTTTGAATTAGTTCTAAACTTAAACTACAGATGATACTCACATCCCTTAGAAAATGTTTGCTTTGTGTCAGTTAATCTGAGCTTTAACCTCTCTTTCAATTTTATTTTCTTAATTTGTTTTCTGTATTAGAGCAGTAAGCTTCAATTACTTCGCTTCACTAAATGTTGTGTCTTTTTTTTTTCTCAATGAAGTGAAATTTTGAAATCTTGGACGGTACAGCAAATTGAAAATACTCAAAGATTGCATAAGATAGAAATAATACATACCTCAGTTAACATAATGAACAAATTGCATGCAAGTCTGGTTAATTTTACTTGATTTAACGTGGTTAAAGGCTAGAAAGTTGGGTCTACTTTATTCACTGTTACTAATGGTGTAGATGGTAAATCTTTGCCATTTTAAAAACGTCATTTGCGGTACTTATTGATTTTTCTAGCTTTACTGAAATCTAATTGACAGATAAAATTTGTGTACGTTTAAGGTGTACTACGTGATGTTTTGATCCACACATACATTGTGAAATATGGGCACCACAGTCAAGGGAATTAACACATACTTCATATAGGTATTTGTGTGTGTGTGTTGTAAAAACACTTATGATCTACCCTCTTAGCAAATCTCAAGTATACAGTATTGTGTTGCTAACTACAGTCACCATGCTGTTCGCTCATCACCCCTTGGCCAGTGTCTCCTCACTTTCCCCACCTCCCAGTCCATGGCATCCACCGTTAAGCTTCTGCATGTAAGTGGGGTCATATAGTACTTGTCTTTCCGTGCTGGCTTCTCTCACTTAGCTTGATGTCCTCCAGCTCATCCACGTTGTCTCACATGGCAGGATTTCCTCCTTTTTTTTTTTAATGACTGGAAGGTTTTTTTCCCATTTTCTTTATTTATTTTTAGAAGGACAAGTGGACTCTTTCCATACCTTGGCTATTGTGACTAAACCTTCAGTGAACATGGAGATGCTCATTCCCCTTGGGTGTCATACCTAGAAGTGGGGCTGCTAGATCACATGATAGTTCTGGTTTCAACTTTTGGAGAAACTGCCATGCCTTTTTCCAGAATGGTTGTACCAATTTACATTCCCACCTTTTCATCACTCTCACCAACATGTTATCCCTTGTCTTTTTTGTAACAGCCATTCTGATAAGTATGAGGTCATTGTGGTTTTTATTTGCTATTTTTTGATGGCTAGTGGGGTTGAGCACCTATTCATATACTTGTTAGCCAAAATGTCTATTCAAGTCCTTTGCCTATTCTTTAGTTGGGTTGTTTATTTCGCTA